ATTCTCATTTGGAACAAACTGCTCCTTCACAGATGTTCTGTGAGATAGATGAACTTCGGATGGCGGACGTAGCTTGAGCGGAATTTCACAAAATTGAAAGATGTCCTGGCTTGAGACATCCAAAGCACACTTGGCTGCCTATGAGGAACTGTTTTCTTTCAATCAAGGGTTTAGACAACAATGTCTCACAATCATCAAGCTTGTGATGACCTTTACAGAAAACGCAAGTTTCAAATTTCACATTTTATTTCTTGTCTAATTTACCTGTGGCAGTGCTTAGAGATGAATCTTTCAGATTTTTGTCGAACACTGTACCATGTGGTCGTTTAGCTGTCTGATGCTGTGACGATGCAAGGGGCTTCCGGGGCGTGTTCTCATGTTTCAATTCCAAGGGAAAAGAAGTGACAGAATCACACGTTATTTCTGCTTCCTTAGCAATGAAAGTAACAAATGTCTGTTCCCTATATTCGGCGACTTTGCAACAATTGAGGAGCCAATCAGGTAGCTTCTGAATAAGCTTACGATTTTCACGTTCATCATTTAGGATATCTAGTGATCTGACGCTTGACATTGCTGTTTCACACTGTCTGAGAAAGTCTGCAAACTTACGTGATGCATTACCATCCATGAATCTAGACGGTCAGGAAACGCACCTCCAATTATGAAATGGTTTCCAAAACGTTCATCAAGCAATTTTATCGCCTCACTGAATGCATCCTCTGACGATAAAGAAAATTTTTTTTTTCACCTTCAGGAATACCTCGCCTCCCTATGAGGACATTTAATGCACTTTTCCATTTTGGGTACATTAGAGGGTCCCCAGAGAAATTTCCTGGCTCTGGTGGAGGTAAACGCCCAATGTTTAGTGCAGCTTCTAATTGTGCCATAGCTGAAGCAGCAATTTTGGTCTACAGTTTTGACACATTCGACATTTTTGAAGACTTACTCTTTACAGATTTACATGATTCGTTGTCAGCGAATTTCCGTTCACTCAAATTCAAGTTCACAGAGTTTATCACTCACGGATTTAATTAAATCAAAATGTTTCGATTCAATCTCGTCAAAATTTGCAAGCACATGTTCTTCAGAATAATTGAAGTCAGTTAGTTTCCCATGTTCACTACACACAATTGCCATACGGTCTTCTAAACAAACACGTCTTGAACGCAGTTCAGATATGTCCACACTGTCAGATACTAACTTCATGACGCTACTCGCCTGCCGACCCCATGCAGATAGTGCAGATTTGAAACGTTAAAACACATAGTTCAATCTTATAACCAGTGTATTCTTGTGTAGGTTTAGCCGCACGGCTGCTTAAATCATGATTACAATTGTTCATATTGTCAATATTCATATCCATGCTGACACTATTGAAATTCAACTTACTCCCGGTAAAACTTCTTATCACTCAATCGATGTTTTACTATAATGTTTTCTGAAACTCTGAACGAAGAAACTGAGTATTCATAATGTTTATTTTACAGAATTTCTAACATAGAGAAACTCACAGTTGTCCAATCCCCTGACATCCGTAAAACATCTTGATGGAATGCGGATAGACAAAGGCCTTTCTCACCGGAAAGCATGGGGTCTAAAGAACTCTTTTTCAATCCCAAGTCATACAATATAGTCACTGCTTTTAAGGAGAGCCACATGTATAAGAACTCTTTCAAGGCCAACCAATTAACACCTGATCTTCTTTAATGATTTTGCCTCTGGTGAAGGTAAATTGCATATCCATCTACATAAGCTGTCTGTTTTTGTGTCTTGAAATGCTAAGATATCTTAGCTGTTCATAAGGCTACTGAACTCTGTATATTCGGTCTTTTTAAATCACAAACATTTAGTTCAACGAAATGCACTAAATTATCACAATGAAAATAATTTTAAGTTATTCTTGTTTTCAGTGTTAGTACTATAAGTTGTATCAGTACCTCGGTGCGGGATATACAACCTAACGTGGGACGCATAAAACCACACGTGCACATTGTGATACAGCTCCGACGAATTCATCTCAAGGTTAACTTGTGCTATGTTATGTCGCGTTCATTGACTCGGGAGAAGCGTGCGGCTGTTTGCTTCGAAGCCAGGGATAGGGGATTTATTTTCCCGCTCAGTAATCCACGCAACAATCACGTACAAAATCACAGTATGGAGATTCACAGTAACCCCACACGCAACAATCACGTACAAAATCACAGTATGAAGATACACATTAATCCCACACGCAACAATCACATACCAAATCACAGTATGAAGATACACAGTAATCCCACACGCAACAATCACATACCAAATCACAGTATGAAGATTCACAGTAATCCCACACGCAACAATCACATACTAAATCACAGTATGAAGATTCACAGTAATCCCACACGCAACAATCACATACTAAATCACAGTATGAAGATACACAGTAATCCCACACGCAACAATCACATACCAAATCACAGTATGAAGATACACAGTAATCCCACACGCAACAATCACATACCAAATCACAGTATGAAGATGCACAGTAATCCCACACGCAACAATCACATACTAAATCACAGTATGAAGATTCACAGTAATCCCACACGCAACAATCACATACTAAATCACAGTATGAAGATGCACAGTAATCCTACACGCAACAATCACATACTAAATCACAGTATGAAGATGCACAGTGATCCCACACGCAACAATCACATACTAAATCACAGTATGAAGATTCACAGTAATCCCACACGCAACAATCACATACTAAATCACAGTATGAAGATTCACAGTAATCCCACTCGCAACAATCACATACCAAATCACAGTATGAAGATGCACAGTAATCCCACACGCAACAATCACATACTAAATCACAGTATGAAGATTCACAGTAATCCCACACGCAACAATCACATACCAAATCACAGTATGAAGATGCACAGTAATCCCACATGCAACAATCACATACTAAATCACAGTATGGAGATTCACAGTAATCCCACACGCAACAATCACATACCAAATCACAGTATGAAGATACACAGTAATCCCACACGCAACAATCACATACCAAATCACAGTATGAAGATGCACAGTGATCCCACACGCAACAATCACATACCAAATCACTGTATGAAGATGCACAGTAATCCCACACGCAACAATCACATACTAAATCACAGTATGGAGATTCACAGTAATCCCACACGCAACAATCACATACTAAATCACAGTATGAAGATACACATTAATCCCACTCGCAACAATCACATACCAAATCACAGTATGAAGATGCACAGTAATCCCACACGCAACAATCACATACTAAATCACAGTATGAAGATTCACAGTAATCCCACACGCAACAATCACATACTGAATCACAGTATGAAGATACACAGTAATCCCACACGCAACAATCACATACCAAATCACAGTATGAAGATGCACAGTAATCCCACACGCAACAATCACATACTAAATCACAGTATGAAGATTCACAGTAATCCCACACGCAACAATCACATACCAAATCACAGTATGAAGATGCACAGTAATCCCACACGCAACAATCACATACTAAATCACAGTATGAAGATTCACAGTAATCCCACACGCAACAATCACATACCAAATCACAGTATGAAGATGCACAGTAATCCCACACGCAACAATCACATACTAAATCACAGTATGAAGATGCACAGTGATCCCACATGCAACAATCACATACTAAATCACAGTATGAAGATGCACAGTGATCCCACATGCAACAATCACATACTAAATCACAGTATGGAGATTCACAGTAATCCCACACGCAACAATCACATACCAAATCACAGTATGAAGATACACAGTAATCCCACACGCAACAATCACATACCAAATCACTGTATGAAGATGCACAGTAATCCCACACGCAACAATCACATTCTAAATCACAGTATGGAGATTCACAGTAATCCCACACGCAACAATCACATACCAAATCACAGTATGAAGATACACATTAATCCCACACGCAACAATCACATACCAAATCACAGTATGAAGATGCACAGTAATCCCACACGCAACAATCACATACTTAATCACAGTATGAAGATTCACAGTAATCCCACACGCAACAATCACATACTAAATCACAGTATGAAGATACACAGTAATCCCACACGCAACAATCACATACCAAATCACAATATGAAGATTCACAGTAATCCCACACGCAACAATCACATACTAAATCACAGTATGAAGATGCACAGTGATCCCACACGCAACAATCACATACAAAATCACAGTATGAAGATACACAGTAATCCCGCACACAACAATCACATACTAAATCACAGTATGAAGATTCACAGTAATCCGACACGCAACAATCACATACTAAATCACAGTATGAAGATTCACAGTAATCCCACACGCAACAATCACATACTAAATCACAGTATGAAGATTCACAGTAATCCCACACGCAACAATCACATACCAAATCACAGTATGAAGATACACAGTAATCCCACACACAACAATCACATACTAAATCACAGTATGAAGATGCACAGTAATCCCACACGCAACAATCACGTACCAAATCACAGTATGAAGATGCACAGTAATCCAACACGCAACAATCACTTACCAAACCAAAGCATGAAGATGCACAGTAATCCCACACGCAACAATCACATACCAAATCACAGTATCAAAATGCACAGTAATCCCACACGCAACAATCACATACTAAGTCACAGTATCAAAATGCACAGTAATCCCACACGCAACAATCACATACCAAATCACAGTATGAAGATGCACAGTAATCCCAAACACACAACGCCAAGTTCACATCATCCATATTACAATTTCCATATCCATTCTTTGTATATATTATTACAAGTGAACATAACATTGGCATTGTTCATCACTGTTGACTGATTCTTTGTGTCTGATGATTTGAAAATACCTATTCAGCACTGTGTCATGCTATCTTTATCTAGCCGTGAACAATGAAGGAGTCTTTCCTGGAGCGACGTTGTGGGTCATGTCGGGTGCTGACAGTTATCATGCTGGCCGTACTTGCAGTCATCATAGTTTTCGCCGCCACCCTTATAGCGACGTGTAAGTATCCCTTCAATTACCATAGCAACATATGCCACCCTTATGGCGACGTGGTAGTATCCCTTCAATCACCATAGCAACATTTGCCACCCTCATAGCGACGTGTGAGTATCCCTTCAATCACCATAGCAACATATGCCACCCTCAAAGCGATGAGTGCGTATCCCTTCAATCACCATAGCAACATAAGCCATCCTTATAGCGACGTCTAAGTATCCCTTCAATCACCATAGCAACATTTGCCACCATAATAGTGACGTGTAAGTATCCCTTTAGTCACCATAGCAACCTTTGCCACACTTATAGTGACGTGTAAGTATCACTTAAGTCACCGTAGCAAGGGTCGGTCGGGAAGCCTGGTGGTTGAAGCGTTCGCTCGTCACGCCGAAGACCCGGGTTCGTTTCCCGACATGGGTACAATGTGTGAAGCCCATTTCTGGTGACCCCCGCCGTGATATTGCTGGAATATTGCTAAAAGCGGCGTAAAACCATACTCACTCACTCACTCGCCATAGCAACCTATGCCATCCTAATAGTGACGTGTGAGTATCCTTTTAGTCATCATAGTTCAGACCGCCACACTTATGGCGACATTCTTAACTCTGATCATTGCAGCCACTGCCAGCATTAACGCGATATCCTACTTCTGTTCTTTGTAATCACCTCTGGACGTATAACGTTACCTGTAAGTGACGTTAGTGAAAAGAGTTGGAAAATATCTGTCGACGCCCAGTTGACCGTTCACATGTTTTGCAAATCCTGCAGTTGACCGAAATATGCACGACAGCCGCCATGTTTACGAAAAGGAGGTCGATTTCGTTACGCGATTTTGATTGAACTATGCATAGACTCGTTAGTCCAACCAAAATATAACTCCGCAAATCCATCCTAGTTCGACCAGGATGAATGCTGGACTTTTAAGGTCTCATTCCTCGGGAAGATCATCATAACCTAGTTCTAACAGGAACATATTTTGGATTCAGAAACATTCTTAAATATGTACCCTTCCCCTCAAACAGTACGACGGTGTGACTGAAGCTTGCTACGTGATACGTGGCTGGTGACGTTAAGGCATATTCTTCTATCAACTGTTTCATATTGTCTTCACAGTGACCCAAGGTTCAGCAATGACGACACATACCATGGGGTCTGATGAAGGTAAGACATCAACATCAGCGTTTAACAGCGCTTTAACACGTTTATGAGATAGTCGCAATCGCAATTTCTACTTTCAGATTTCTGAAGATTATGGACATGGTTTTGCGTTTTTTTTGTAAATGCAGGGTTTGGTGCCTCATATAACTGAGCCATCTGTATAAGTCTTGTATATTCTTTGCAATACAGGCGAGATCCGCGTAATACAAACTCTGCAATGATTGGTCTTATACAAAAGCGCATCCCCTCGCATTCTGTCTTTACAAAGATGGGGCTTAACGTCACGTTCAAGATTGCTGCACTCATGAAGCGACGATCACGCACGTGTGTGTGTGGCTGCTTGTACTAGACTCCGAGCCGACCAGTCCTGGTTTTATCTACTACATGCCGTGCGCCAGGCAGGGTAGCAACAAATACCATTTTTAACGTCTTGGTATGACGCGACCAAGGGATCGAACACCGACTCTCTCTACTAGACAACGGAGGTTTAAAAAGCTCTATATTAAGAATGTATTGTACAACTAGGCTACATTTTCAAAGAAGTTACAATGTATGGCTAACAACTTCTTTATTGTACTATTATAGCGACGTTTCGGTACAGGTCGTTAAACCGTTGTCAAGCAATACTGAGTGACATTCAGACACTCATTCCTGTTTTTGACAATAGTGTAAGGATCCATACTAAAACGTCGCTTTAATAGTATAATAACATTTGTGTCTACTTTGCCATCCATCAACTTCTAAGAATTGCCTATCAAACTATTAACAATTTCTTGCACTATAGCATTTACATACAGGTTAATTTATAACACGTTAATTATATACATGTTTTGAACGACTTCTTACAATTCAGTTTCCTCGGACGCCGACTGTCTGGACATCGCCGTGATCGGCGGCGGTATTGGGGGCGCCTACACCGGGTGGAGACTGAGGGACAGAGGTCTCTCTATCTCCGTGTTCGAGTACTCGGACCGAGTCGGGGGGAGACTCTTCACAACTGACTTTCCTGCAGCTACAGGGACGTACCTGGATTTCGGGGGGATGAGGTTTAGATCTGGAGCTCATCCAACGCTGAATAGAACAGCAACAGAGATTGGACTGAATATAATCCCATTTGAACTTGGATTTGGGAACCCGGATGAGACAGTATGGTTTAGTCGCGGAAAGCGAATGGTCATCAACGATATTCAGACCAATGACGTTCCTTACAATCTCAAGGACAATGAAAAGAAGGACCCTGGGACATTGCTCTGGTACAGTACAAATATAGTACAACTTTGTTAGCAATTATTGTGGCGAACCTGTAGCACAGAAATATGTGCGATTGCATTTTTTTTAATACTAGCATGTACAATATAGGTTCATCTTCTGTTTATGACATCAGGAAAAGATAGGGCCATTAATGTATGTGATAGATTAAGATTTTATAGACAGATTAAGAGTTGCAGCAGCGTCCAGACGGCTCTTCGCGAAGCAACAACCATCAGCAATATCGATCCTCGTCGGGTAACTCATCATGATGCGAAATTAATGTTAAGTTAATGACAAATCACAGAAATCTAGGCCAACATTTGATTGACATATTGTACGTAGGAACATATTGTAAGCTGAACATGCCAAAGATTTGTTTTGTATGATTTTTCAGAAAACTATCAACTAATGTTTACTATCTTGTTCTAAAGGAATATTTTCAACAACAACGTGAACTTCAGCGGCAACACATACCCCAGTCTAGATGAAATGTACTCCCTGACTACGTCGGATGGAACGCCGCTGTACAAAGTCTCGTAAGTACTTTTCCCTCTTTAGGTCCTCTATATCGTCGTGGATGCATGGATGGCACAGGGATCTAAAACGCCTCCTTTAGCTTTTCCAGAGTTGCGTCCCATATTCGTGTCAGGTTCCGCTGATCGTGGGTTCGATTTCCAGATCCCTCCGATTATGATCCTTGGTTTGTCAGAATTATGTTATGTGCATTAATCCAACACGCCGTGATAAACTGACCCTACTTACATGTGCATCTCTCTTTACACAATTCAGAGTTGACAACCTCCTTGGATCTGCAGCAAGTCATGAAGCCTACGACTACATATCTGATCTGAATGGGTGGGACATGGCTGTAGGGAGAATGGCAGCGCCCCACAGTGCCAAGTTTTTTATTCCTTTTCCCGGGAATACAGGCATAAGCGAAGGATATAAGACAATAGATGGAGGAATGCAGAAAGTGCCACAAACACTCATGAAGAAATTCTTGGAGGCAAGCTCGAGGTAAATAAGTTAACCAGTGCACATTTAACGTCACACTGCTGAACAACTAGCTGTTGGTGGAAAACTAAAAGTGGATTTGGGCGTCTCATTGTGATGAAATGACCCATCAGATTGGATTCATGATACTGAGAGCGCACCGGGAATGATATCATTTCCATAATATGTAGATGTATGCAGTGTAGTCTTTTATAGTTACATTTCTTTCCCCAGGCACAAGCTCCATCTGAACCACCACCTGGTGAAGATAGAGAAGAGACAGGCTGGAGGATACAACCTCGGGTTCAGAAAGACTCAGACAACAGACGGAATCACGACCCCAGTACAGGTGGGTTGATTTGGTTGTTTTTTTCTTATCTGTGGATACAGGCATATCTGCCTTCCGGGGAGTCGGATTTAATCTGAAACAATGTTGTTACAAGACTCCCTCCTATACCCGATCAGGCCGGGTTTTGTATTGAAGTGTTCCTCGAGGTTCTACACTGCGACAGTCTTTAGAACCTAGATAAAGTCGCGCATCGATTTGTAATGATATGATCGCATATATAAATAACGTCCTTCTGATGAAGCTGATCTATGTTTGAAGCAATGTTGTCACAATACTCTGTCCCATTCCACCAGACGATACACGGCGGCAGTCTTAAGAACCTAGATTTAGTCGTCGTGCATCGACTTGTCATGATATGATCGTACACCTAAACATCGGACTTTTCCCAGAAGAATGTAGTGTTACAGGACCCTCATTCATCACCACCAAACACATTTGACACTGACTTACTTATAACAAGCATAATCAGTTGATGTATTTTGGTAGGATTATAGCCTGCATGTCAAACCCTGCATCAGCCAGCCTAGTGTCAAAGACTATTATACACAATGGAAATGCCAGGTTCATTATGTGGCTCTAGTGTTAATGGCATGTGTGACTATGTTTTATTTACCAAATTAGGATATTTGAGAAACAATTCCCTTATTTTGTTAGAATGTATTGTTTCGATATTGTGAATAATATCCTGCCCCACACTGAAGCACATGTAGCAAGTGGCAAGTGGCTGAGTACGAAATGTGCCTCTGTTCACCCAGCAGTGAATGGGTACGCGGTAGGATGAGATGGCACGTGGCTGTTAATCCCCTGCTTACACACAGGCAGCTTGGGTTGTATACTCCCCAGGGAGCTGAGAGTGAAAATCGAGTGCACACTGATCCATTAACCGGTGTATAGTGTAAGCGCTATGAGCATCCACTTGGTGGATGGAATTTGGTGCATTATAAATGCACATATTATTATTATCATTATACTTTAAAGTGAATGAAGTTAGTATCATGTCGTGTTTTCCTCATCACAGACTGGTGACGGAGACGTGACGATGTGTGCGAGGAAGGTGGTGTTGGCTGCACAACAGAGTTGCATACAAGAGATTGATTTTCCCGCGTTCAAGACTCCAGAGATTATGCAGAATCTAGACTCTCTGATTGGAATGAAATCTGGTAGAATCTACCTCGCCTACAACACCAAGTGGTGGAAGACCGGCAACCCAGACATCACCCATACCAAGAGTGACCTACCCAACAGACAGACCTATGACTGGTCCACCGGCACCAACAACGTCTCCATCATCATGGCGTCCTACCACGACGGGGACTTGGCACACTACTGGCGAGAACTGAGTCAGTTCGGGACACCCATCCCTGGCAGTCTCCCGGGAGTGAATGCCGTTACCGACGTCGTCAAGAAGAGAGCTGAGAAGTACCTGAGCGCCATCTACAACGTCAGCCAATCAGACATCCCCGAGGCTGTTGGGGGCGCAATGATGTTGTGGGACAAATATCCTTTTAATTATGGCTGGAACCTATTTAAGCCTGGCGCTGACGAAAGAAAAGTTCGCGAAGTAATACCCAAACCATCCCCATCCGATGATGTGTACATCGTCAGCAACTCCTGGGCTCCTGATGACCTGCAAGGGTGGTCAGAAGGAGTGTTGAGAGCGGTTGATGGCGTCATCAATAAATATTTCAAGAATATGTAATAACTATACCTCAGATAATTAATCTTATATGACTAAATAACCAGATACAATACATACTATATTTCAAAGAGAGAGGTTTGAAGATTAATCAAGTATTTGTTCATGTCCAAGAATTGCTGATTATTGAATTTGTAAACTTACAATAATTTCTTTCTAACAAGGGGAACATAGGGACCCGACCATATAATATTCCGGGGAAGCCTTGGAGTTTTCTTGAGACAGAATAGGCTTTGATTAATCAAGTGTTTGTTCATACCCTATATAATATTTTTATTAAACAGTATTTTGTTCCTAACATCAGCGTACGGTTTTATTCTCTGAAAGGAGGGGCCAAGTACTTATTACTACACTCGACACATTATGTTGCAGAACATTCAGCATCTACAGTGAACGATTGATTTCTTTGGATAAAACCCGAGGGCAGCTAATTTGTGTCAGCATTTTCAGGAACAAGACGTATGCTTTAAATAAAAGGCTATAAGCCCGTAGATTGACATTTAGTCCCAGAAATAAATTTATCTTATTTGAAAATATACATCTCAGAATAAGAAAATATACTCCAAATGGAGCCTAGAAAAATACAGACGTGCCAAATAATTCTAGACTTGACTTGGACTCATGGGGCCTGGGAGACTAATAGGCCTGTAGTAGACATGATGTATTAACGACAGATGGCATCGTAGTTTGACCAAAGGAGACGTATGTGATACTCATCTGGAATACATCGTACAGATTTGGCATATCCTGACACACTCATCGTTCCAAACGTATCCAGAGTCGCAGTTTGGGAGCAATTCTTTGATACAATATTCCCAGTTGCATTGACCGTCATTTTTTGCATCAACATTCTATCCTTGTATTTCTTTGAAAGTCTATTATTAAAGAGTTATTGATTTCAACTGATATCTGAGGCCTTTATGTATGGGAGTATATATACACTGAAAGGCGGTCCCACAGGAAAGTTAAAGGTGGTGCCACAGGGAAGTTAAAGGGAAGTTATAGGGGACCTACAAGGAAGTTATAGGGGACCTACAGGGAAGTTAAAAGGAACCGTACAGGGAAGTGAAGGGATAAAGGCGGTCCCACGGGAAAGTTATAGGGGATCCCCCGACAGGAAAGTTAAAGGCTGTCCTTCAAGAAAGTTAAAGGTGGTGCCACAGGGAAGTTAAGGGGAAGTTATAGGGGACCTACAGGGAAGTTATAGAGGGACCCTACAAGGAAGTTATAGAGGCCTACAGGGAAGTTATAGGGGGACCACACGGCGAAGTTATAGTGTGTCCCACAGGGAAGTTATAGAGGGACCCTACAGGGAAGTTATAGGGGTCATACAGGGAAGTTATAGGGGGACCCCACGGCGAAGATATAGTGTGTCTCACAGGGAAGTTATAGAGGGACCCTACAGGGAAGTTATAGGGGTCCTACAGGGTTAGTTATAGGGGAACCCAACAGGGAAGATATAGGGGACCCTACAGGGTTACTTATAGGGGTGCCACAGGGAAGTTATAGGGGTCCTACAGGGTTAGTTATAGGGGTCCTACAGGGTTAGTTATAGGGGTCCTACGGGGATGTTATAGGGGTCCTACAGGGTTAGTTATAGGGATCCTACGGGGAAGTTATAGGGGTCCTACAGGGTTACTTATAGGGGTCCTGCGGGGATGTTATAGGGGTCCTACAGGGTTACTTATAGGGGTGCCACAGGGAAGTTATAGGGGTCCTACAGGGTTAGTTATAGGGGTCCTACGGGGATGTTATAGGGGTCCTACAGGGTTAGTTATAGGGATCCTACGGGGAAGTTATAGGGGTCCTACAGGGTTAGTTATAGGGGTCCTACGGGGATGTTATAGGGGTCCTACAGGGTTAGTTATAGGGGTCCTACAGGGAATTTATAGGGGTCCTACAGGGTTAGTTATGGGTGATTCTACAGGGAAGATATAGGGGAACCTACAGGGTTAGTTATAGGGGTCCTACGGGAAATTTACACAGGTTTCTACTGTGACGTTATAGGCTTCCTACACCCTAATTTGAGGGGGACCTACAGGGAAATAACAGAGGTCATACGGTAAAGTTACAGAAAGTCTTCCCATGGCGAGTGTATACATGACTGTCAATCTATATATGGAATCGTTTCCACAAACTTGAATATATGAAACAAACGTTCAGGGCAACCATTCCTTCTGACTGCCAAGAACACTCTGTACCCACCTTCTTTACATAGTGTTTATTCCCAACACAGGATATTTACCATCTCTAAACACACACGCGTGATAACATATTTATCACATAATTTCATTCTTCAATTCTGTGCTCGAAAAACATCTTTCCTACTCACACATACATTACCTAAATATTACAAGTTTTCCTGGAATGTGCGCATTAATATATATCACGTCAGAAGGTAAAAGACGTGTCCGTCGGACAGTGACAACAGTCAATATAGTTCCAACTGAAACCTGTTTCTTATACAGCGGCGTAACTACATGCAGGCAAAACAACAAATGTTTACATAAATTAATTCTACTTACCTATGTTGGTAATCCATCGGTCTGTCCGCTAGAGTATCTGCCCTTAACAGAAAGGGAAAGTTGACTTTTGGAACGTTGAAATCATCCTTCTTATTATTATATATTGTTGTGGATACTTAATCGTCGCTCATCACTGCTTGCATTCCATGAGTGTAAAGGGCAAAAAAGCTGTGAACATTCTATGAATGGACCCCTCAAAATCAGTGATGACACCAAAGTGCATGATTTAGACTATATCAGACAACTTCGCCAGTGTCACGCTTAACCATTCAAACTATTATGACCAGTGGCAAATTATTTGGTAAATGTTATTATAATTTTCATCTTTTACAAATTTCTTCATGGAAAATCAAGAACCTAAAACTGTCAATGGCATTCAAACAGAATATTTCTAAAAGCGAACTGATAAAAAGATCGCTGATGTGCTGAATTGCGTAGATATGATTTGATTTCATTCTCATGCTTTCTTATTCGTCAGTTCATGTACATGTTAAATAATTTTAAAGATTTACAACCAGGAGGCGCTGCTGAGGTGGATCCATAAGCGGTAATGGTTTGAATGGTACGGTGTACAAGTGTGCCAAGTTTGGTGCCTTTAATTTTGACAAACTCCAGACTTAGCAGCATCACTACTAACTAACTAACGTATAACGCGTAGTATGTTTGTCATTCATTTATTCATTCATTAATATACTGTAAATGCAAGTGGTCTTTGCTCGCATTAATTAACTTCGCATTTGTGTCTCCAGATGACTTTCAACATTAAGACGGCACACTCCGGATAGCGGAAATATTGAGCAGCAGTTGCAACAAGTATATAACAATGTCAGTCGAAGAATAGGAATTACACGATGGGCATCCGGTGCACTGATATTGAGTCGCATTTTTGGCTAGGGTTCAGCAGTCGTATTAATTTGAAGACGCATTAATTTCTATATTTACAGTATATTATATATATTAAAAATGCAACAAAGTGCCGTGTTGGTAACAAAATATAAAAGACTTGGTGTCATCCCTATTTTGCCTTTTCGCGAATATATAATTAAAAAGGCAAAATAGGGATGACACCAAGTCTTTTATATATATTCGCGAAAAGGCAAAACAGGGATGACACCAAGTCTTTATATATATTCGCGAAAAGGCAAAATAGGGATGACACCAAGTCTATTATATTTTGTTACCAACGCCGCCCTTTGTTGCCTTTTTAATTAATGCTAATTATTGCATTGCGAATGGTCCTGCACGCGAAAGGAATGATTTTACTCCTGTATCAACCAAATGAATGTCAGTTGTTGATTACCTCATCACCCTATATGAATCATTGGCACGTATTTCTGAGTTCACTCGCCCCAGCAAGCTGCTGCAGCATGCCGGAGTAGTAGGAGCTCCTGATTCTACGGCTGTGTTTTGTTTGTTTGATTGTTGTTTAACGCCGCACTCAGCAGCTGTGGGTTCCATTAACCACTCTGTTCTGACCTGGAGTTATTCTCTGGATGCAGGTGATAGATTGGGGCAAAGACAAGAAAATGCATGTGCTTCTGCAAAGTCCCAGAATTTATGTACCCGACTGTCCCAGATAGTTTTCTGTCTTCCAGTGAAATATCCTAAAATCTTAAGATTAGTTTTCACATTTTAGAAACATCGGAAACACAATATCAAATTTGCAGATACCGAATTTGTAAGCTGTGTGAAGTTAGATATGTCAAATACATTGCCCAGTAGATAAATTGTTCTTGAAGGGCATTAGAATCATAGAAAACGGAAATGGAAGAAGCCACGGTGGAATGATACAGCGATGTGGTCGGAAATATGTACGACAGAAAGACAATGGTCAAAGCATAAAGGACCAAGGAAGCGGCAGTAAAAGGCTGTCTGCGGGAGTGTTCATAAGAGCAAAACGGCAAAATACACGGAAAACTATCGAAGATCTAGATCATAATCAATGTGACTTCTGGAAGAAAACGTAAATTAGGATTCAGAAGTAGCAGAGTTCAGACAATGCCCAGATGAACACCTCCCAGACGGTACAATATCCAATTGTACACACTGCTTTAGAGACTTGGAAGAAAGTCGGCCAATATTCATGCAGCTCCAGGCTTTAGTGTCTAGATTTACAACTTTTAAGGTACAATCGAGCAAGTTCTTTCCACCAAGCGTACAACGAGCGTCATACGACTCTTGCTCAAAGTTGTTTGATCGCGGTTACAATATTCAAGGCCTTAGTAAAGCTTTCAAAAGCTTTTATCGTTGACAAAAGGAGGACATTTCCAAGTGTGACCCATCGGTGACAAACATTATTCCGATGCTATTCCCTATACTGACTTCCCATGTTGTTTGTTTTTTAGGTGAACGATTGACTTGCCCTTGCATGTGTTTGTGACGGGTGCCAACAGTGTGGCAGTATATGATCACCTTTTCGCGAACACAGATTTAATACTTAATCATAGACATATGCTCATGATATAGTCGGAATCGTACACTTTTAGCAGAGATTTCATATGAACATGGAAAGGGTTTTGCCGCTTTTATGTACTGCAAGCTTAGAGAGGAAAATCACAAGGATAGAACCGTATTCATTCTCATCTGCCGAAGAATGAAAATGGTTTGTCCTTTCTTCACAACCTTTTTAATTCATGTTTTGCTATGTACAAAATAGCTAGGCTGTGGACATGAGGCAAAATAAACCCTATACCTAAATACTGATACAAGCGACCCCTTACAATATATCACCTCGGGATATAAACTGAAGTGTGGTGTTCTCAATAATTATCTATCTAACAGTCTTCTGTTTGTTTCAGAAGAGGAAGATCAGCTGTTGAGCATATCTCAACCCGGAACGCCATCATAGAGACACTGAAGAGTTTAAAACAATGAGCATATGTCACTTTCGTAGATTTCATAAAGGCACATGCCTGTATTGACAGACAAATAATATGGCAGACATTAGGAAATAGGATTAATGGGAATATCTTTAACGCCATTGTATCCCTATGTACAGACGTGAAACGTTGTCTAAACGGTCTATATACGCCATGGTTTGATGTGGACTGTGGCCTGGAACAGGGTTGCCTTTTATCCCCGCTTCCTTTCAACATATATATCAACGATCTGATCATGAGCATTATCCAGATGTCGCATGGTGTGAATATCGACGACAACTGTGTGAGCAGTCTTGCATATGCTGACGACTTCGTGCTTTTCACTTCGGCTGAGAATAATATGAACCTGCATTTAGACTCCCTAAACACTTAGTCTCAGAACATTAAAATGTCGATCTATCCGTCAATATCAAAGACTATGTACTTTAAATCCCGTCAACTCCTAGAACTACACATGTATGAGGAGACCAACTCTTATTGAGTTTGTGACAAATCTCAAAAACAGATATCTCGGGCTCCTGCGAACTGAACATCTTGACTATCAAAAGGTCAAGCCGAGGCTAGTTCTGCAAATTGCGCTCTCGGTCTACTAGCTGTTATCGAAATTTCTTGTTAAACAAGACAGGATCACTGGCGTACTACTGATGACAGTCAGAGAGGAAACGGGGGTAACAAGCTTCGCGCTTACATCACGGTCGAGACGAAAAACGGCGTAGAGGAATATAACCGTAACATCGCCCAGAGCACAGAGATGGACCCTTGCTCCAGTACAATGCGAGACCTACTATCTGATACAAGAACTGATTAGGTTTAGAGAGAGTGACTGGGGTTTTATGTCGCAGTCAGCAATGCTACAGCTATATAATGGCAGTCTGTAGATGTTGACACTCGCCCAGTCAACACTTCGTGTAAATAAAGGATGTTATACTTGTTGGAAGTACTCATTGTTGTACTTGTTGTTATGGTCTGATCAAAGAAGTGTCTGATATGTTGCTTCCGAAGTGTCGATGGTAATGGGCAGTGGTACCTGCTAAGGTCAAGGTCAAACGGCCGATACAGAAAGTGACCTCTCTTGCAGAACCTATATTTTGAACCAGAAAAGCCGAGAGAAATGAAATTTTTGTAAATATTTCAGATTTGGTATTGCTTATTCTTTACAAAAGACATGTTTCAAAACTTACCATTAACAACCAACATAACATGGACATGCACTTCTATTCCGCGGGTGGTCTTCAGCGGGACCATTCCGACATTCAAACCGTTCACGATTTACAGAAATTTATTCAGGGTGTATGCTTCATCTTGCAATGTCACTTTATTTGCAGCATGAAAGTTTTCTACAAATGTGCTATAATACAAGGCTAAACCTAACAAATGACACATGTCATGGACATTGTTAGGTGGTGGGATCTGTGTGACTAATCTATTTTTGAAGGATCGACATGGATGCCATATTTGCTGAAGATGTGCTCTAAGTAGGTGACCTGTTTTTTCGCGAATTTACATTTGCTTGTTTGGTTTTTAAAGTGAGTCCTGCTTCTTTGATCCTTTGGAATAGTGCCTTGAGGGGATTCAAATGTTCTGAAAGCGTTTTAGAACATATTATGATGTCATCTACATATATTAATATTTAACGCCAATTCATTTCTTTTAGTGCTTGATATGGTTTGCTGAAAGGGGGGCGATTCCATTAAAAAATAAATCATCGGGTGTAATGCAGGCCGTCTTGTTTTTTTGTATCTGGATGGAGGAGTATTTGCAAAAAGACACTAAAATGTTGCCATGACTGTAGCCTATATATGGCATCAACAACATCTTCATAACGTGGTAGGGGGAAGATCATTCATTCAAAATACCTAATTATTTCAGTATGTTTCCAAAGTGCACAGAAATTCTATCTCCTTTTTCTGTTTAATGTATACAGCAAACATTCAGGGCATCCCCTCTAATCATAAGCCCCCTCCGGGCAGGACCCTTCTTCCCCGGCACTGTCTGTAATGTCAATTAACACCTCCTTACGTCGCCGGATCTTCCATATGGTCTTTTATTATATAAAAATACGTTATTATACTCCTAATTTCATTGTTCTGTTATAAAATCACCTACACGTATACAGTTATTATGTTAAAATGATATCAGGGTACAAAATGATTTTAAAATGTAATTCTACATACTGTATTAAACACGTACCTCCAGCACATGAACAGTAATTACCAATCATGTCAGAAAAATAAACCATTACACAGAAACAAACACCGATTCAGACTCAGACACAGACAGACAAATTAGTTGCTACTTTGTGTTATGAAATGATGAAGTGTTCACAAAATCTCCCTATCTGGGATATAAAGATTGATATATAAATGTAAAACAACACCTATAAAGGTTATGAAGCGGTAAAACACTACTTCAAGCGGTATATATATACTGTACACTGAATACACCATATACATATTCCATAAATGCATAAATGTAGTTGATGCTGTTTGATACTGATTCATAAACACATGTCTGTGATATAGTCGGAGTCGTCGAATGGACTTGTGATTGTAGAAAGTTTTTTTTTCGCTTTATAAGACTGATGCTATAATTTCATGTTTATTTAATAAAAGGTTACATTTGAACATGTTCAAAATAGGTTTAGGCAAATTGTTTACAAGAATGCTACTCTGCATACATCGGACCCATGAAGAATCCGGGGTAGAATAGGTCTTCAGCAACCCATGCTTGCCGTAAAAGGCGACTATGCCTGTCGTAAAAGGCGACTAACGGGATCGGGTGGTCAGGCTCGATGACTTGGTTGATGCACGGTCATCAATCCCGATTGCGTGGGTTGATGCACATGATATTAATCACTGGATTGTCTGGTCCGGACTCGATTATTTACAGACCGCCGTCATATAGCTGGAATATTGCTGAGTGCGGCTTTAAACAACCAACCAACCAACCAACCAACTGCATACATCGATATAAATTTCCGTTTTAGTACAGATATCGATCTCAAATGTTCCCTTTAAATAAAATACATTTGGAAATAGTATATTCACCTGCTTAATGTTTTATTTATTTCAAATATTAGGAAGCTACATTGCAGTTTTCGCCAGATGTTGATGCGGCATTCTCCGAGACATGTGCCGTTTTCGCTTGACGCATCCTGGTTAAAGATACTATTTTGCCCTCTTATATGAATAATTTGAACAATATACACATATGGGGGTATGAAATAAAGCAAGTTGATAGTGACACAGATACACTCGATTCATCTCCCCCTAAGGCAATTCTTTATCGCGACCAGGATAAGGAAGTGGGCGTCATATATAACTGATAAATCAAATCTCCCATTGTCAATTCAGTCGTGTCCATCATGAAGAATTTCGTTTGTGTTTTCTTGTTCTGTATCTACATGTTCGGGTATGTTGAAGCCTTGTCGTGCTTCTCCTGCAGCACTGACGTGGTGTGCCCCACCCTTCCTCCAGGCTGCGAGAAAACACAGAGGGCGTGTGTCTGCTGCCCCGTGTGTGCCTTGGACAAGGGCGAACCATGTGGAAGCTACACACAAAGGTAATCTAGCGTCTATTTCATATACACAAAGGTAATCTGACGTCTATTTCAAACACACAAAGGTAATCTGACGTCTATTTCATATACACAACGGTAGTCTGACGTCTATTACAAACACACAAAGGTAATCTGACGTCTATTTCATATACACAACGGTAGTCCGACGTCTATTTCATATGCAAAATAGTAATCTGACGTCCGTTTCATGTACACAGCGGTAGTCTGACGTCTATTTCATATACACAACGGTAATCTGACGTCTATTTCATATACACAACTGTAGTCTGACGTCTATTTCATATACACAACGATAGTCTTACGTCTATTTCATATGCAAAATAGTAATCTGACGTCCATTTCATGTACACAACGGTAGTCTGACGTCTATTTCATATACACAACTGTAGTCTGACGTCTATTTCATATACACAACGGTAGTCTGACGTCTATTTCATATACACAACTGTAGTCTGACGTCTATTTCATATACACAACGGTAATATGACGTCTATTTCAAACACACAAAGGTAATCTGACGTCTATTTCATATACACAACGGTAATCTGACGTCTATTTCATATACACAGCGGTAGTCTGACCTCTATTTCATATACACAACGGTAGTCTGACGTCTATTTCATATACACAACGGTAATCTGACGTCTATTTCATATACACAACTGTAGTCTGACGTCTATTTCATATACACAACGGTAGTCTGACGTCTATTTCATGTACACAACTGTAGTCTGACGTCTATTTCATATACACAACGGTAATCTGACGTCCATTTCATGTACACAACTGTAGTCTGACGTCTATTTCATATACACAACGGAAATTTCACGTCTATTTCATATAAAGAACGGTAATCTCACGTCTATTTCAAATACACAACGGTAATCTTTCGTCTAATTCATAAACAAAATGGTAATTGCACATCTTTGTCATATGTATACGTTATGCACATTTGAATTATTCCTGAAAATATATGGTTTCCGTCTATAAATAGTCCATTCATTCATGGATAGGAAATAACTTTTCCCTCTTGAAGTAGAGTACACCAAATGTAGCCACAACTGTACATTTCAGATGCCGAAAAGGTCTGTGGTGTGAGAGGATAGCCAAGGGAGGACAACCGACTCTCAGTACAATGCTATGGTGGTTGTTCTACGACGGCGTGTGTACCTAGATGGACAACTGTGGCACAGAGAAGATTGGGAGATTCTGGGGTTAGTGGACATGTTTCCACAAGCAGGAAGTACACTTTTTAAATGAAACCATGCGTCAATCTCGATGGGCAGGACCTTGTGTTATAGGCTCCATTAGAAACCCCTTACTCTCAAACCCGGCGCGTAACATGACAGATAACGAACATCTTTGTATCACTATTGAGTATATGCTGATATGTTTATAGAAGGTTGGATTAATGTACACCAATAACGATATAATGACCATCCTGACTAAAATATTGCCTGGCAACAAAGCCAAAATTCGCCATCGCAACATCAATCACTGGGGAGAAAGGAAACTTCACAGAAACCAATGACAACTTAAAATTACACAACATCGTTTCTTTGTGTGTTTTTATTTACTCAATAACTTCAAGAAATCCAATCACATAGCTGCATATTGCAGGGAAAGCACGATGAGGCTCCGTCATACCTGTATGTGTCAGTAAATCCTTTTATCATGTGCATGAAAGGTACACAATCATAAACGACTGCAAACTTTAGTATGCTTAATTCATCATATTCATTGTAAATCATTTAAATTATAATGGTGAAATGTATCATGCCAAATACATTAGAATATTGTGGTAAAGAATGCTGTAAATAAAGCGTCAAAACCCTTTCCATATCCTCTAGAAATCGATTGTCGATTGTACGATTTACGGTTTTCGCGAAAAGGTGGAGACTTATGTCAGATGCACCATCAGAATCAGGAAAATGCATTTGTCTACATTATGTTAAGGTTACACACCATAGCCAATGGTAAGAAAACATTTCTTAGAACATGAGCGACGCAGCTCAATATTTGACTGTAAACATGATAAATTAATTCCATTATTTGTTAAGGTGAATGACTGACAGTACATTGACATTGATGTGGAAGTAAATATTACTATGTTCATAATGATTGACGGTCATTATATAGTATGTATATGTTATCTATTATACTTCATGTGTATAATGTAAAACTCCTTTAACTAAGCAATATGTTCCAAAGCATAAAGCAATGATAAATCGAGAATGAACACTGATATTATAAATTGTAGTTTAGTTTGTACCATTTTGTTGTTGACGACATGACTAGTCTATTCGGATTTAACGGAATATATCACACGCCTTATGTGTCCTCAACCCTAAAATATGTTGTTTTAAGCCGTCTGACAAATGGGGTGTCCGACGAATGGGGTGTCCGACGAATGAGGTGTCCGACGAATGGGGTGTCTGACAAATGGGGTGTCCGACGAATGAAGTGTCCGACGAATGAGGTGTCCGACGAATAGGGTGTCTGACAAATGGGGTGACTGACAAATGGGGTGTCTGACAAATGGGGTGTCTGACAAATGAGGTGTCCGACGAATGGCTTGTCCGACGAATGGGGTGTCCGACGAATGGGGTGTCTGACAAGTGGGGTGTCTGACAAATGGGGTGTCTGACGACTGGGAGATGACCCAGGAGTATGTTTGCTCTTATGTAAGTAATCAGTGATCTTTTTTTCAGCGCAGTTCATTGGAGCACAGCGCCGTGACACTGATACACTGCATAGATAATGTAACATAATTGTGAATCTTTGATAATTTACTTACAAGCATTAAATACATTATCGTAACAATGGGCACACGATACAGCCGTTAGAACACCAATCTGTAATGATCAAAACTGTTCGTTTCAAACTTACTGTGTCTGCTTTTATGTTTAAGTCACTAGACCATTCCATCCATGACGAATTAATGTGGTTAAGTCTTCGATATCTTCAGCTACAAATTCATCTGACGACTGTCTGGACATCGCCGTGATCGGCGGCGGTATTGGGGGCGCCTACACCGGGTGGAGACTGAGGGACAGAGGTCTCTCCATCTCCGTGTTCGAGTACTCGGACCGAGTCGGGGGGAGACTCTTCACTGCCGAGCTGCCTGTCGCCCCGGGGACGTACCTCGATTTGGGAGGGATGAGATTTAGGGGAAGTGCTCACACTATCTTAACGAGAACAGCGACGGAGCTTGGTCTGAAGATCATCCCCTTCCCCCTTAGATATGGAAATGCAGATGAGACGATCTGGTACACTCGCAACAAGCACATGCGCAATACTGACTTCGGAACAAGTCGCATGCCTTACAACCTCCCCCCTAGTGAAATGAAAGTTCCTGGTATATTGAAATGGTATTAATATGCATTCAATCTTTTGGGGGGGAACAGTAATAATGATTAAGGGGTTTGAAAGTTCAACAGAATTAAAAGAAAATTCCATCAATAGCAATAGATCCTTATCAGTTTAGCTTTCATTGAAACTCCAGAAGACATTAAAGCTGATTGGGATCTCTATACAGGAATGTATTAACTAATTGAAAATAAATGCTATGTGATGTTAGTTGAAAAGAAGAATGCAATGTTCTTGGATATATCTCGGATGTCATTATGTCCTTAAAATACGTCTCTGTCGCTGAAGGAACATCTTTAACAAGAACCTCATCTTTTTTAACAACTCGACCATGTACCCCAGCCCGGACGACCTGTATAAGATTAAAACCGTGGATGGCACTCTGCTGTACAAAATGTCGTAAGTAGATACTATATCCCATTGTACGCCATGTTAGGACTCCGGGTTAGAGTTGGTCCCGATCATCCTATGCTGGTGGTGAGGGGCGACTTAATAGATCGATCGACCCGTGAAGATCCGGGGTAGAATAGGTCTTCAGCAACCCTTGCTTGCCGTAAAAGGCGACTATGCTTGTCGTAAAAGGCGACTAACGGGATCGGTTGGTCAGGTTCGCTGACTTGTTTGATGCATGTCGTCGATCCCAATTGCGTTGATCGATGTTCATGATGTGAATCACTGGATTGCCTGGTCCAGACTCGTTTATGTACAGACCGACGTCTTATAGCTGGGATATTGCTGAGTGCGGTGTTAAACAACAAACCAACCAACCAACCAATAATAGATCTAACGGTCAGACTCGGTGACTAGTTTATTGTGTATTATCGTACCCTGACATCTTGGATTATTGTTCCAGTAGCTGGATGGTCTGGTCCAGGGTCGATTATTTACAGGCCATCGTCAAATAAATTTAGTTGGAATATTGCTGAGTGGGGCACTAAACAAGAAACTAAACACGTATACATTGTACCCTTGAATGATCTAAACTGACGGCCAAAAGAAACGTTACCAACGATATTTCTAGGATGAAATATGACCAACACAATTTGAAGCAGCAATAACAATTGTATTGTAGAAATTCATCATTCACAACAGTAAAATGCGAATTTACTAATTCAACAACAACGTCCTTGACCTCCAGCAGGGACATTTTTTGACAAGGGGTCATTCGTCCAGTATTCGATCAACAACATTGGTTACAACTTTAAGGTGACGACGGCCCAGACCGTTCAATACGGGATATGACCTCCATGAGCGGCAATGCATCTTCGAATGCGGCGTCGAACTGAGTAGACAAGCGTCCTCACATCGACTGCAGGTATCCGATTCCATTCCTCACGGAGGGCAACGATCAACGCTTGTCTCGTGAAGGGAGGATGTTGACGTTTCAGAAGACGACGCCCCAGCTGGTCCCAGAGATGTTCTATAGGTGAAAGATCTGGGGATCGCGCTAGCCACGGCAGGACAGTCACGTTGTTGGCGTTGAAGAAGTCTCTAGTAATACGGGCTTTATGGGGTGTGGCGTTATCTTGTTGGAACACCGTCCGTTGTTGACGCTGGATGAAAGGAAGAACCACTGGCCGTAAGATATTGTCAATGTAGCGTTGTGCTGTCAGATTGCCTTCGATGATGACAAGTTCCGTCTTCTCGTCCCCGCAAATGCCACGCCAGACCATCACACTTCCGCCCCCGTAAGATTCCACCTCCTGGACAAAACAAGGAGCCGTACGTTCACCACGTCGTCGATAAACTCGCGTCCGCCCATCAGGTTTGAAGAGGTGGAACCTGCTCTCGTCACTAAACAGCACTCGCCGCCATTCCCTTTGTTGCCATCGCTGAGTTTGCCTGCACCACTTCAATCTGGCACGTCGATGTTGACGGGTCAAGGTCATGCCCTTGAAAGGGCGATAAGCCCAGAGACCACAATGTCGTAGTCGTCTGGTCACGGTTTGTCAACTGTCCGGATGTCCTTAGCTGTTGGCAGCTGATGACGTCACAGTAGGAAATCTGTTCCTCAGATGAAGTACCCGTAAAAAGCGGTCATCCTGCTGGGTCGTGACCTTTGGTCTGCCATTCCGTGGTTTGTCTGCGGTTCTACCAGTCTGTCGGAGACGTGCGACTAGTCTGGTAATGGTCATCTTGGAGCAGTTCATGTTAATGTTCATGTCGCTCCCATCTGCAACATACCTATGGCTCTCTCCCTCTGGACAGCGGTCAGTCTTGGCATATTCGTTGGTGTTAGTCATCGCAAGCAATGATAGGGAACAGATCCGTGCGTAATTTATACCCGGAAATTGCACGATAATTTTTGGGAAAGAATTTTTTTTTAAATTGCTGAAAAACACAAATATCCCCATAAATCCGCAAAGCACGTGCAAAGAACGACAGAGAACATGAAGGCTGTATTCGTGAGATGTGTTCTTTACTGTCTTTGTTTCAAATTGGCAAATCAGTTAATGTTGGTAACGTTTCTTTTGGCCCTCAGTTTATTTCTTAAAGTAATAATACGAATATATTATAGATATGATTGAAGTCTTTCAAAGAGAAATTCCCCAGTCATGTCCTGGTTTTAACAGTACGACATTTAAGAAACGCATTGCAAGAAAAGTAGTTTTAAATGAATATTTGTTTGGTCCTATATATCTTTGACTAACCGCTGATGCTATATGTATACTGTGTAACATTTTTGCAGTCTATATACCCATTGTTGTAACTTTTCCCCCAGGCTTGACAACGTTTATGGACGTTTTGCCAGTCGGGAGGCGTACAGATACCTCTCTGAAACAGGTGGCTGGGCTACTACTGTGGGCAGTCACGGAGCCCTCAACGGTCCAACAATCTCATTGTCATACCCTGTGACAACAGGGCCACCTGAAGAAATTAATGCAATAGATGGTGGGATGGGGAAGGTGCCACTGACTTTAATGGAGAAATTCCTGAATACAAGCACCAGGTGGATTTCTATTTTCATAACGTTAATATTTCTCTTAAGTTGGTAGGAGGTAACCAGAAACCAAAGATGGTGGGTTCGAATCCTGATCCTCCATTTCTAGGTTTGTCGCCACAATACCCGTGTTCGTGGATTTCACCAAAATTGTAAACGTCTGAGACCTGCATTCCCACATTAAGCTGACATGACTGGAATACTGTAAAAAGTCGGCGTTAAACGGAACTCACTCACTCAATTGTCATGTCTTCAAAAACCTAAATCCTCCCATTGAGCAACAAAAAGTAGTCAGTCGTCAGAGACCTTTGATACATATCAAACAGTCTTTTGATCAAGGTTACTTTTCATATTTCAAAATATATCTGATAATATATTTTACGGGGAATGGTGAGGATTTATTTACATATAATGTATCTAATATACTAAACTGTGTTTATGCTAGTTAGCAAGGTAGATGTTCCTGTATATAATCGTTCAAGATATTGCGCAGTCATGCTGGTTCAAGTTACCTGAGGATCGACATTACAGAGTGTGATTGAAAAACCTTTCGAAATAATTTCCTGATTTCCATGTTGCCCTCACTACATTTCTTCCTACAGCCACAAGCTCCACCTGAACCACCAACTGATGAAGATAGAGAAGAGACAGGCTGGAGGATACAACCTCGGGTTCAGGAAGACTCAGACAACAGACGGAATCACAACTCCTGTACAGGTCAGTGTCCTCCCTGTAGAACCATGGTATGTTTTCCCCACAGACACGAGCTGCACCTGAACCACCAACTGATGAAGATAGAGAAGAGACAGGCTGGAGGATACAACCTCGGGTTCAGGAAGACTCAGACAACAGACGCTATCACAACTCCCGTACAGGTTTCTGCCCCAGATATAAACTGCATTGAAGGCTCTGTTATATGTACACAAGGAAGAGAGATTTAGTTATAATTTAAATTAATATGCCTGAAAAAGAGCATCTAATGAGAATAGACATCTTCAAATAGCACTACGTAATAGCACGTTCCTGTACATTGTATTATACTGCGGATATAAAGCCAATGTATAGCTGAAACATTATTCAAGCTAGTGAGTGATTAGTCTAACCCACCTGATCTGCTGGGGAGTATGCAATCAGATCTAAAGGGTTCTATTGGTGTGATATAATGGTGGCGCACTGGGTCGTTAAAGAGGTCGGGGATCACATTCAAAATTTGCATTTGGCAGCCAACGTCAATGATATCTGGTAAAGCCACATATGTTGGCCAGACATGAACGAATTCTTCGAGGCATGCTTCTGATGAGTCGACCAATGTCAGCATGACTCATGGTGTTCCACTCATCAGTGAGAGCAGCACCGAGTTCATTGAGAGCGGTGGGTGGATTTTGACGTTGACGTATACGTCTGCCAACGCCCCTGACGTGTTCAGAGGAGGGAATGTCAGTACTGAGTACTGGCCAAGGCATGTCATGGATGTTTTACTCTTTGAGGAATTGGATCACAATCCCGGCACGATGAACACGTACATTACCATCTTGACGGGTAAAACGTTGCCCAAAACGGTGTGCAAATGGCACCACGAGTAGTGCAATGATGTTGTCCCCATTGTATCGACCTGTGACTCTACAATGGACAACATGGAGCGCAGTTCGGCCAGTCATTGTGATGCCAAAACCATATCAGTATGGACCCACCCCACCCCCTCACCCCCTCACCCCCAAACGTTCATGCTGTACCACGTTAACGTCCGTCTATTCTGTCCTTGGGTGGGGGTTTTGCCCTTGGGCGTCCAGAGCAGTGTCGATTATTATCTGGTTGTTTGAATTGGGCCCACAATCTGCTGATGACAAATTGAGAAACATGCAGCGTTTGGGCAACTATATTCTGACGCGTGCCCACCTGCTACATGCTGATTGCAGATACACGTTCAGCACGTTGCAAATGTCGCATGATTGTTGCTGTTGCTTCCTCCATGATTCAATGTGTTTATCAAAGTGTCTTTAAGCGTTTATTCCCAGGAAATTAATATGCGACAACCGAGTCTTAGTGACTAGACGAGATCACTTACACCATGACTGTCACAATGTTGTGTTTGGGAGCTTGATTTCCTCGGAAATGTTCTTGCCACATAAATCACTCACTTTCATTGCCAGACATAGGTGTAATTTCCTGTATTTTCACCTCACAACTATATATTCCCTAGTTTATATATTATAGATATACTCAGAAGGTGTGAACCATTGTCATCGTCAATTCCAGATGGGTAACAAAGAAGTGACCATATGCGCCAGGAGAGTTGTCCTTGCTGTACAGCAGAGATGCATACAGGAGATAGACATCCCAGTGTTCAAGAACAACCCTGACATTGTAAAGAATATAGATTCTCTTGTTGGTATCCCTGCTGGTAGAATCTACCTGGCCTACAACACCAAATGGTGGAAGACCGGCAACCCAGACATCACCCATACCAAGAGTGACCTACCCAACAGACAGACCTATGACTGGTCCACCGGCACCAACAACGTCTCCATCATCATGGCGTCCTACCACGACGGGGACTTGGTACACTACTGGCGAGAACTGAGTCAGTTCGGGACACCCATCCCTGGCAGTCTCCCAGGAGTGAATGCCGTTACCGACGTCGTCAAGAAGAGAGTTGAGAAGTACCTGAGCGCCATCTACAACGTCAGCCAATCTGACATCCCTGAGGCTGTAGGAGGCGCAATGATGTTGTGGGACAAATATCCTTTCCAAGCTGCATGGGGCGATTTCAAGCCAGGGTTTGATGACAGAAAAGTTCGTGACATGTTGTATAAACCATCTGCGTCCGATGAAATATACCTTGTCACTAATTCATGGGCACCTGGTAATCTTCAAGGATGGTCTGAGGGAACGCTGATAGCTGTTGATGCTGTCATCAACAGATATTTCAATGCCAGCAAATAGCCATTTGTACGTTAATGAATTTCTGATCTGTCGTAGATATCAGTATAAAGCCATCGTCACTATTGTAGATTAACCACATAGAACTGTAAAGAGTAGGATGAGGACGGCGACGTTAGTAGACATTTTATATACACAAGAACAAGTATATATGCACATAAAATATAATCTAGATGCAACAGTTATCCATTGCATACACGATGGAAACACAATCATAGGATAACGCGGGCATCATGACTTCCATGAATGCGCCCTGTAATTTCTTATACATCAGCACTTGCCACGGTTTCAATTATTGAAGGGACATGTGCCCAAGATGTATCAGTATCACCTACGCCATCTTCACACAGGTGGAAGAATCATTCACATGACGAACACTGCAAATGATGGCAACATATAATTCTCTCTTTGTGATATTATTTGAACTCTTCCTGTGTTTCAGTATCATAGCCAGGAAATGATATAGCTTTGAACACAAAGCAGTCTGAATTGTAACCTTACTCTACTGATTGTAACAGGTGCTGTGCTACGACTGCGACACCTCGTTCGTACACAACCTTTCCTGTTGAGTTGAAGAGGAAATGTTAATGTTAGAACATATGATCAAATATATAAATACAATAAAAATATTGAATACAAAGACCACATTTTTTTATGTTTGTTGTGTCAAAAGGGATGTGACGAATGTCAAAGACAGGACATGTACCAGGTAACAGTCCTCCACTGACAGATTATAAACGTGAGTCGCCGCCAGTTATTGTTCTCACGGCAATTACGATGTCCTAGTCGCCTTAGGCAAAGCAAACCGCTGGGCAGAGTTGCGTTCCTTGGGTGTGTCAGAATCCTATGATCGTTGGTGTGAATCCGAGATTCTAGGTTTGACAGCAACATACGCTTGCTCTTGGCTTTAACCGAAGTGACACACGTCTAAACCAGCTTTAACCGAAGTGACACACGTCTAAACCAGCTTTAACCGAAGTGACACACGTCCTAACCAGCTTTAACCGAAGTGACACTTCTAAACCAGCTTTAACCGAAGTGACACACGTCTAAACCAGCTTCGAGTTTTCCTTCCACATGAAGCAAACACGCCGTCATATAACGTAAATACTCTTCAAAGTGGCGTTGAAACAAAGTCACCAATTCTACACGCATAGCATACACATGTAATACCCAACACTGCAATGTCTGTGCAGAAGTGAATGCTACAAATGTACGAACGTGACATGTACCGAGTAACAGTCATCCACATGTAAATCTCCAACATTTGTCATGGCCATATATTTTACATAGACCCATTAGTCACCAATTGTTTATATCCAACACACCGAACCCGCGTCCAGTCTGACGTCCTACCATGCAGGTACAGGAGTTGCCTGACTGAGGGTCGTGTAGAAAGTGAGAGTGCGCGTTGAACAACAGTGCAGTTTAATTCATGGTTGATTGACCTGTACACCCTACCATGCAGCCGCCCCATTCTGTAGACCCTAACCCTAACCCATTCTGTAGACGCCAACCCTAACCCTAACCCTTACCCTAACCCTATCACTAACCCATTCTGTAGACGCTAACCCTAACCCTAACCCTTACCCTAACCCTATCACTAACCCATTCTATAGACGCTAACCCTAACCCTAACCCTAACCCTAACCATTACCCTAACCCTAACCATTACCCTAACCCTAACCCTAACCCTAACCCTAACCCTAACCCTAACCCTTACCCTAATCCTTACCCTTACCCTAACCCTAACCCATTCTGTAGGCGCTGTGTAGGGTAGATTCCTTGACAGGCTTAACCATAAAGTTACCATCTTAACAGACCTTGAACATTCCTTATATTATTCTGTTTCTTTTATGTATGCGAACAGCAGTGATATACATGGTGTATATGCCGGTTCCAATGTTTTAGGTAAGGGAGTGGGGAGTAGGGGCTTGAATGTGTCAGGTTGTTGAAAAAGAATGGAAATTGCATGCCACAAAAATGACATTGTTTCAAGGCGTTTTACTGAAAAATAATTCGGGCTTGTAGTTTTAAATAGTTTTAAATCATGTGGTTTGGCAGCTATAGTTGAAAAATTAGCTAATCTCGATACAAAATCCTTGGCCCCTCCCCCGAGATTATCTGTATTTTTCAGCTTTCATGTTAGTCAAAGGGTAAAGTGCAGAAATTCATGAATGTTGTTGATAGTAAGAGTCCGAATATGCTATGTATTTGTCTACTTGATATTTATTCATTGTTATAACAGTCATTTGCAGAACGAGGCTTATAGTCAGACTTCTTATGACCATTGAAAGGGCTTTGTCGCTTATAGTTTGAAGTATCCCCGTGACATGACCCATTGGCCGGAGTGTGCGACATGTACATCAGTCTGGAATATTTATGAATGCTTGCATTATGCCGAAAGATTATTTTACATTGTCATAGAGAAGTCCTCCTTTGACCATGTAAACAACGGGTGGTTTTCATAAGCTGCGACATACATGCCTCGGTTACATTATGTAAGTATCTGTTTGTTGACAGTGTTAAGCGTAGGCTGTTTGATACACCCACTGTGAACTATGAAACCGTATTTGTGCCACATTCCAAAAACAATATCATCTGATCAAATGATACTTGCATCTACGTAGATGATACTGACGTAGATGATACTACTCACATCTACTAAGAATAACCTTTGATCTACGAAAATGGTATTATAATCATGAGTATCGTTACTCAGACAGTGATTGGTCGATAGTCGATGATACTTTCCTCCAAGTAGATTATATATACGTAGATGAAAGTACTGTATACGTAGACTTAAGTTAGAGATAGAGTAAGTTAGAGATTCTAAGAGTGCTTCACGATCGAGCACAATGGGAAGTTGAGGGTATGGCCAGGGCCCATCTCCCGTCTCAACTAATAACACTGATGATTATAATAAGCCTGGATCTGGTAACAATGGGGATACGTGTTGCACAATTTTGTCATGGAACACTGAAGGTCTTCGTAAGAAGTTAGAGGACAATGAATTCATTGAATATATTAGAAGCTTTGATATTGTTATTTTACTAGAAACTTTCCTTGATAAAACTGTTGATGCTCCTGAACTAAATGATTATGATATTTACTTTGCCAAAGCTCATAAAATTGCAGATTACGGTAGACTGTCAGGTGGGGTATATATGTATGTGAAGAGAGCTTTATCTTCTTATTGCGTTCAATACCCCTTGTCTTTTGATAATGCCATTTGCATAAAATTATCTAAATGCCTATTCGTTTGTGATAAAGATGTTCTTTTATTTGGAATGTACATACCGCCATATGGATCAAACTACTATGATACCTCAGGAAAAAGAACAAGTTTTGAACAACTGGAACAGTGGTTGATTGAACATTCATCTGAACTGTTAGATTTTCACGTACTGGTATGCGGTGATTTAAATGCACGTACTGGTAATAACAATAATCCCCCTGAGCCGGGTAATGATGAGGAAACAAGTGTATTCCCCGAGGAGGAACCTGTGCATGTCGGGGAGAGATCTTCAAAGGATACATTTATGAATAGATTTGGTAAAATGTTGTTAGATTTTTGCTTCGCATTCAGCATGTATGTCTTAAATGGGAGGTTCAAGGGGGATGAGCAGGGTGAATTTACTTATGCATCTGAGCAAGGTTGTAGTGTTGTTGATTATTTTATTGCGTCTCCTGCTCTTTTTGAATACTTCACTCGCTTCACAGTCGAACAGAGGCTAGATTCAAAACATATGCCCTTGTTGCTATATTTTAACAGGCCACCCATTAGTACTGTAGAAGTAGATGATTCAATTGCAACAGAATGTAGATCATCCAAATACCAGTGGAATGTGGAAAATATCAATACATTTGTTGAAAACCTTAAATCTATCTATTTTGCAACTTCTGCTAATCTCATGGCTAGCGTTAATGTCAACATCAATTCAGCTCTTGATATGTTTGTTTCCACTTTGCTAGATGCTGCAAGTTGTATGAAAACAACAGTTTACCCTAAAAATGTTAGAAATGGATTTTACAGTTATGAGTGTAGGATAGCTAAGCGTTAAGCTAAGAAATATCTTAGACTATTTCGGAGATATAAATCAAACTTATTCAGAAGACAAAACTGTACTTTGAGGAATAGATATAAATTTGTCACCGGAAAGTCAAAATTTGAATTTAAGACAAAGACTGCGAAGGCGTTGACAGCAGTTATATCCAATCAAAAACATTTTTGGAAACTTCTCCGAGGTATATCTAAGCCGTGTAGTAAACAAAATTATATAAGCAGTGAAGCTTGGATTAACCATTTTAGCAATGTGTTCAATGCTGATATCTTATGTGATCAGAATGTCTCCTCATCGAACGCAGACAACGAAGAAACACAGGCCGGTTTCAGAAAGGGTTATGCAACCACTGACCACATATTTACTCTGTATGCTATTATTCAGAAATGTTTATGTAAAAAGAAATCAAAACTTTATGCGGCATTTGTAGATTTTAGAAAGGCTTTTGATTTTGTTAACCGTGATAAGTTGTGGAATCTCTTAATGTCTTATGGTATAAGTAGTAAAATGTTAAAAACTTTAAGAAGTTTATATAAAAGTGTTAAATCGTGTGTAAAATGTGATCTAGGTTTCACAGATTATTTATACTGCCCTACTGGTCTACGACAAGGATGTATTTTGAGTCCATTACTATTTTCACTTTTCATAAGCGAATTACCAATTAAGTTATTTCTAATGGAAAGCATGGTGTACAGTTATTCCCGGATTTAATAGAGATACTGTTATTGTTGTTTGCCGACGATGCTATTTTAACATCAGATAGTGTCACGGGGCTACAGACTCAGTTGATTATTCTAGAAACCCACACAGAAAAAAGGAATTTGACGGTAAATCTGGAAAAAACAAAAGTTGTTGTTTTCAGACGAGGTGGGGTGCTTTTCAAAAAAGGATATTTGGTATTATAGGGGGAAGGTAGTGTCAAGCTACAAATATCTTAGT